AAGTAGGTGCTTTAGACCACTGAGCCATCTCACCAGCCCCTTTAATCTCTTTTTGGTACAGGGTCTCACTATGGAGCTCAGATTCACAGTGATCCTCCTGTCTCAGCCTCCCCAGCTCTGGGATTACAGGTGTTCACCACCATGCCTGGTTTTAGTGGCCAGCAGAACAGGGGTTCTGGGGCCTCTGGGGTGTGGCACATGCAGTACCCAGGATCCAACCTGGGTCATTGCTTGCCAGGCAGGCACTTAGACTGCCTAGCTATCTCCCCAGCCTTTGGCTATTATAATTTTTAACTGATTCTGATTCTTACATAGATAAAATAAATTTATTTCTGTATATTTATTTTATATGCAACCACTTATTGATCTTGGTAGTTTTATTTTTGTTGTTCTTGTGGGTCTTCTATGTAGACAGCAAATGGTTGTATAAATAAGGATATCTTTGTAGCTTCTATATTGAATATATGTATTTCTGCCGTCAGTTTTACCTATAATATTTCTAGGTTATTGGAAATAATGTTAGTACTTTTTTAAAAAAGCATTTTTCCCCCCCAAGGGTCAGAATAACTTTATTCCCTTTGGAGGGTGGCCAGGTGAAGTTAGAACTTCTGGAACTGCTCCTTGTTGCCAGCAGCCTTGGTGACCTTAAGCATGTTGAAGCGCACTGTCCTGCACAGGGGCCTGCCCTCGCCCACTGTGATGACGTCACCGATTTGGATGTCCCCGAAGCAGGGCGACAGGTGCACCGACATGGTCTTTTGGCGCTTCTCAAAGCGATTGTATTTGCAGATGTAGTGGAGCTAGTCTCCGCAGGTGACAGGGGTCCTCTGCATCTTCATCTTGGTCACCACGCCAGACAGGATCCACCCCCAGAGGGAGACGTTACTGGTAAAGGGGCATTTCTTATCCGTATAGGTGCCCTTGATGGCCTCTTTGGGGGTCTTGAAGCCCAGACCAATGTACTTGTAGTACTGAGGGAGCTTCTCTTTGCCAGTTTCTCCCAGAAGGACCCTCTTTTTGTTTTGAAAGATAGTTGGCAGCTGCTGGTAGTTGCGCTCTGTCTGAATATCTGCCATTTTCCCAGCTGGCTGAAAACAAAAGAAGATAGCATTTTTAATGTAATGCCTATTTAGCTTTTAGGAAGAAGATAGTGAATGTCATATAGGTCTTTTTTATTGGCGTATGTTTGCAGTACATAATGATCGCATTCATTGTGGGGAGGGGGCACATGTCCATAGCACATCTCAATTCTTTTTTATCCCCTTTCCTTTCTTTCCTTCTCTCTTCTATTTCTTGGTCCTCTTTTTGCAAAAGATCTATCTTCCTTTTTCCTATTATCTGGCTTTTATTTTTCTGTTTAATCTATTTATATTTTGAGTTTCTCATATAAAAGATGCCAAGCTTGTGTGTCATCACTTCATTTGACATTATCATCTCAGAGTGTATCAGTTTTTCTCCAAATGACTCAAACTTACCTGTCTTTATGGCACAGTCATACTCTCTCGTATGGAAGTGCCATGATGCCATATTTCCTCCGTCCGTCCGTTTATCTGCTCATGGATATATGTAGGCTACTTCCAGGATTTAACTGTTATGAGGTGTACTGCTATAAACATGAATATGTGTGTATCGTATCCCTCTAGTGCGATGTCTTTAACTCTTTTTGGCTGTTATCTACAAGAGAATGGCTGAGTCAGATGAGTTTTTTGGGGTTTTGAGGATTCTCTGTAGTGATTTTGATAGTGGCTGTACTAGTTAACATTCTGAAAGTAGTTTGGATCCAATTTATTTTTCAATATATGTGGTCAGTGGCAGTGTTGTATCTCAGCTGGCAATAATTTGACAGCCATTGTAGAAATATACCCTAAACATCTGTGAGTTGGGAGCAGTGATCAAAACTCCTGGGCAGAGCTCACATCTCATGTGTTGTTCCTTGTGTAGAAGATGATGAAAGTCCAACAAAATGGAGAAATCATTGTTTTCATGCTGGGGAAAAAAATTATTTTAAGGTTCTTTGCTAAGATCATTAGAAGCAGGCTCAGTGTATTGTTACTGTCAGATCTTGAAGAGTTGAGCTTCTTCTTACCTAACGTTTTATGGTAAATGGAGTGAAAGTTATAGCTGCCTAGGCTGCTGTGCATACAGTGAAGGAACCGTGATGTTGAATTACACAGGAGTAATTCCATTGCATAAACCAAACTTAAGAAAACCAGCTGCCCCGTATTACTGAACAAGAAGCTGTCACTGTAGCACAGAATAGTACCTCTGTGCTGCTCCAACCAGGGCGGGATGAAAAGGTCTTATTTTGAGGTCATAATGTAAATGAAAAAAATCTGTCATTTCCATTCATTAATTTTCCCAGCAGTCTGAGTTCTTGGATGTACTTTTTACACTTTCAGCCTTTCGTTTTAATGTGCAGAATGTGCAGTGTCAGAATGTGAAGTCCTCTAATGAGGACAGGTTCTGGAGGGCACAGTGCAGACTTGTCTGGGATAACCAAAAAGTTCCATTCCTTCTACCCCAAGAGCAAGTGGCTTGGCTATGGTATTAGCAGTCAGTGTAATGTGACGGAATCATTGGTATTTACTGAGATGATTTAGAAATGTCTCCTATTTCCAAGCATCATGAAGCTTTCTTGCCACATGTATTTTTGTTCGTTAATATTTATGTACTCTTAGGCTATTATGGTAAATTTTTCATGATGTTGCTGCTATTAAGAGATTATTCATATATTGATGATTTATGGCCTACCACGCATTGTTCTAAATGCTTCACAAAAACAATCAAAATTTAAAGAGCTCTTGAGCATGTGGATATTAATCTTTTAGATAAATATGCCTTAGTAAAATTCTACTTCTTGAAGTCAAGTGACAGGTTGATAAAACAGTTGATTTAGGATTATTCTTTGACATATATCCTACCTCTTACCTCTGTGGCATTCTGTGGTTTTAGGAAAAAAGAAGGGAAGGGAAACTGTGATTGTATAATTCTAAGCAGTTCAGGAAAGAAAAGGAGGAAAAAGAAAAATGTTAAGAGTTTGCCTACCTTTCTTGTTCCAATTCAGTTAACTTTTAAAAGTTTCCAAATAAAGGCTGGCCAAATAGCTCAGCAGATTAAAGTGCCTGCAAGCAGATGCAGGGGGCAGGGGTTTGATCCCTGGGCCCACTGGGCGTGGTGGCGCACACCTGTGATCCCAGCTCTTGGGAGGCTGTAAACAGGTGGATCACTACAAGTCTGATCTAGTAGTGAGAACCTGAACACCCTGTAGACCCTTCCCTAAAAATATATATATAAAAAAAAAAGTTTGCAAATAACTGAATGAATGGCAGTGCTCATGGCAGTGCCTGGAACTCACTGAGCACTGCTGTGTGTCAGGCTCCCTGTTAACTCATCTATGCTCCTCTTGAAAGGATTTCATGCCTTGCAAAGGCTTTTTTTTTTTTTTTTTTTTTTTCTTTCTGTTTTTACTGGAGATATACTACAAGAAACATTGAGCTATATTTCCAACCCTTAAAAAGTTTTGTTCTTCATTTTGAAACAGGGTCTCAGCCTGCTGAGTTGCTGGGGTTACAGATGTGTACCAACATACGTGTGTATAGTTTCTATTAACCATATTAGGAAATATTAACTTCTTTGTGTTTGTTTAAAATATTTTGCCACATGCAAAGCAAAAAGTAGTTGCAGCACTTCTGGCAAAATATGTTATATTAATCCCAGACTGCAGTCTTGATTCATTGACATCATACCTCTGCTGACAAATATACCTGTGGGCAGATGATAAACATTCATCTCAGATTGTTTTCCTGACTACCACCACTGTGTTTTTTTGTGACAAGGTCTTGCTATGTAGTTCAGATTGACCTTGCACTATTGTCTTGAACTCATGGCTGTCTTCCTGCCTCAGCCACTCAGGTATGTGTGCCATTGTGCCTGGTGGTCCTTCCACTTCTTAAGTGTTGGTGGTACAAGATTTTGTATTTGATGATACGATTTCTCAAGTTCTCTGTTATTCTAGTTAAAACTTTTATCTTCGTCTAAAATATTAAAATCTCAGTTATTATATGTTTCTTTTATGTTCTTATAAGCCTGAGTACTATATTAATTACAAGTGATGTTCTTAATAATTCTGAAATAAATGAATTAATGAATAAATGAAAAGACTTTAAATTATCATAGTCCACTTAATGATGCTGTGGAGCTCTGTATGCTAAATGTTTAATACAAAGTCAGAAAATTTTCAAAGACAATTCTTAAGCTGCTTTTTAAGAAACTTTTGAACCTAACACAGTAGTTGTTACATATTTTGATAGCAGGATCCCTTTCATAATTGTTGAGTCCCTGATGTGCTTGTACTGCTATGTGTATCTCTAGTGATATTTAAGACGTAAGAACAGAACCATGGTGTGAAGTCTCTGGACAGTGAATGCAAGGAAAAAAGCAGCCAATGTCTTGATGTCAACATGAAAGTAGTTTTGACATTTGACAGCCTCCCTGTGAAGGGTCGTGGAGGACTGGGAATCTCAAATGCTCCTTTGTTTCGCTAATCGGGATGTAATAAGGGTTATCCTTAATTTTAAGGTTAAAGCCATGTTTTTAACTTTTATGTTTAATCATGAGCGCTGTGTTATAAATGGTTCTAATTATATAGTAAGCACAAAAGTTACTAGATTTTTAATTAAAGTTAAATAGATCTTTTTTGGTTGAAATTAACTTAGTTTACAAAAATCAGTATTTACTTACTTATTTATTCATTTGTTCATTCATTTTTAAACCAACAGTATTTAGAAAGCTGTTTCCCATACATTGAAAGCTGTGTTCTCTTGCATTGCAGTTCCTCAGTTTGAAACCACATGTAGTTACGTGGAAGCTACCCTTGAAGAATTTCTGACCTGGAACTGTGATCAGCCTAATAATTTTGGACCATTTAGAGATTATGATCATTCCAAATTCTGGGCTTATGCTGATTATAAATATTTTGTCAACCTATTTGAAGACAATTCAGATATTTTCCAGGTAAATAATACTGTATGTAACTTTCAATCTTGGTAAGATTTGAGGCAAGATCCTAAGTTGGAATTTCCTTGTTCCCTTCTTCCTTGGCTGCCTTTGTCTTCTGTAAGTATTCCCCGTGAATCTGGAACATTATACTCAGGAGATCCGAAAGACCTGCTCAAGGGATGGGCAGCAACACTTGGCTCACACAAGTAAGTGGCTTTGGCCTTCGCTCTTGACTTCTCACCCAGACTTCTTCTGCCAAACCCCTCCTTTGCCTTTTATTTTGTTTTGTTTTGTTTTGGTTTGGTCTGGTCTGGTCTGGTCTGATCTGGTCTAGTCTGGTCACGATCCAGTTGAGGCAGGCCTTGAACTCGCTTTGTAGCCCAGCCTGGCTTGGAACTGGTAACAATCCTCCTGCCTCAGCCTACCCAGTGCGGGGATTACAGGCATGCACCACCATACTTGACTTTCCTTTGCCTTAAACAGTGCCCCGGAGGTTTGATGAACACCAGAAACATAGATCATATAAAAGTTCCCGTTTCCCACCAACCTATATAGAATGTCTTTAGGTGCAAAGTAGATTCTATAAAGGAACATTTCTCAGGTGAGGATCAAGTAGCCTCTGCCATTGCTGTCCCCTCACCCATGGTTCATGGCCTAAAGGCAGAAAATCCTGGGCTCCTGGTATTTGGTATAGAAGTCCCACAGGAATATGGGAGCACCTCGGAGAAGTAAGAATATAGATGTTCATTGTCAATGTGTTGATGGAATGGACCACAGAGATTGCACACTGAAGTACTATCTGTGGTTTTCTTTCTTT